GTGTGTGCTTTTGGATCCATAGATTCGTTGAGCTTTGGTGCTTTAGGTATGGTTGTTCCTGGTATGGAGGAGCACACGGATATGTGATTTCGGCTTCAGCTTTGGCGATCTTTCCACCAAGGCGATGGTCCAATAGGATCGGTGCTTCGATGACTTCCCGTCCGCGTGAACTACAAGGTTAGCCTGACTCCGGTGTGGGAAGGGCATCGGCGGCGCGCCATCAGCACATCGGGGTGGAAGACGATGGCCAGTTCCCCATGGGTTGCATTGTAATTTCTTCTTTTCTTGAGGAGAGCTCTGCAATGCTTCGTACTGATCAATAGATCTATGGGCTTTTTCGCAAAAAAATAATAATTCGAGGTCGATTCGTGTAATTTTCTCGCAACTTGTGTTTGAGCCCAAGCAGTTGGCTCGAGTGCCTTTGGAAAAGGGCAGAAAACGTAGGCTCCGGCGCTCCGCTGCGGCGCCCGCAGCATCGAGGGATCCCCCTTCTTCTTTCTTCCGCCCCGAGAAGGCGAGCCGCCTGTTTCCTCCGCCGGTTTGCCCTCCTCCGCCCTCTCCATATAAACCGCCCGTCTCAAACCTCAGGCGCATCGCACACACCAAAACAAAAGTGAAAAACCACATCCTCCCTCCCTCCGAGACGCCGCCCGGCCCGACCAATGGCTCCCAGGAAGTTCTTCGTCGGCGGCAACTGGAAATGCGTAAGCTCTCCCGCCCCGCCCGCCCCCCGTTTTCGGGCCCAAGCTTGAAGCTTTTGATCTGTAATAATGGCGTTTGCCGCGGTACGTGCGTGCAGAACGGGACCGGCGACGACGTGAAGAAGATCGTCACCTTCCTCAACGAGGCCGAGGTGCCCTCCGAGGACGCCGTCGGTGAGCGCCGCATGCGGCTTTGTTTCCCTTCGGGATCGACTCGATTTGCTGTGCTGAACTGCTGATGTATTGCGGTGTTTGGTTTTGGATGCAGAGGTGGTGGTGAGCCCGCCGTTCGTGTTCCTGCAGCAGGCAAAGGGGCTGCTGCGGCCCGACTTCGCCGTCGCCGCGCAGAACTGCTGGGTGCGCAAGGGCGGCGCCTTCACCGGCGAGATCAGGTCAAGTGCCACTTTTAACTCTGCCCCCTCGCTTCCCCTCTTGTTCGATTTCGCAATGAGAGCGGATTTGGACGAATCAAAGTGATCAAATTTGTTCGCGAGCACCCAAATTTCCACTTTCAAAGTTGCGGGAGTAATTTTACTTAGTGGAAATATGATTTCGTACGGCTTTCTAGATATACTCACATGGTATTGGAACTGTGAATAAGACTCTGCTCTGTGCGTGCCAAGTCTCTGACGTATGTCATCTTCTCATTGCAGTGCTGAGATGCTGGTGAACCTGCAGGTGCCTTGGGTCATTTTGGGGCACTCTGAGAGGAGAGCACTGTTGAATGAATCAAATGATGTGAGTGCCTTTTAATTCTAACCTTGTTCGTTCAACTAATACTACTTGGTTGATCAGTTGTCTTTGGTGTCCAGTTTCTTTGGTTACCAAGTAGGTAGGCCGGGAATTTTAGTACTAGTAGTATAGTTAGTAAGGTGTGTAGAAAAGATAGACTGATAGAAACATTGGATGTCAGATCTGCTTGAGTCGCTCAACTCAATGGTTGAAATTAATTTATATGATATTCCGTGTTTTATGTTTGGAGAATTACTTGCCAGGTGCCAATCCCCTTTCTGCCGAGGCAAAACTAGGCCAGGCCAGATGGGTTTTGGTTTTACTTTCACCATTTGCGTCCAGGAAAAATTGTGCCTGACCAACCCATAAAGATTTTAACATGAAGCCAGCAAGTTTGTCAAATATAACCAGTTCCTGAACCTTTTTGCAATTAGTTTCTCAATCAAGATGTCTGAACCACTGTTTTCATTTCTTTTACTTCATCAGAAGTCTTCTAGTATTGTTTCAGTAACAGCTTTATTATTCCACGACAGTTCGTTGCTGATAAAGTGGCTTACGCACTCGCCCAAGGACTCAAGGTAATTGCTTGCATTGGTGAAACTCTTGAACAGAGAGAAGCAGGGACGACAATGGAAGTTGTTTCTGCTCAGACTAAAGCTATTGCAGGTAAATTTTACTCACTGATATTCAAGGTAATTTTGATACATTGATAAATTCTATCCACACTTCATGGAAAATGGATATGATGCTTTGCTTACCATGCATCTGTGTAAGAATTTTTGTTTTGAAAAATGTGTTAGACTTCGGAGTATTGCTCGAGTATATATGTAGGCCCATGTCATATCTAGCCGTATGAGGCCCATATCTGTTGCATATGGTGTTTTCGTCATTTTTTTTTTGGAAAAGGAGGCAAAACCCCTGGCCTCTGCATCAATCGATGCATGCAGCCATCATTGTGCAATTAGATGGTTGATTAATTCCTACCTATTACATATAGGCTTCATTGTGCAAGTCCTCCTTCACTGTTTTATTACCTAAATATGAAAATAGCCAAAATTGTAGTAATATATATCCCTGTGACCTCTTCCCTTGAAGATTAGTACATCATATTAGGGAACAGATCAACAGAATACCCTGAGAGAAGTTCGAAAACTATTTTCTGTTTATGTATAGTATTCCTAAATGCTAATTCTAGGAGCCTAGGTCATACAAGCAAACAGATAGTAAACTATGTACTTCTGAACTTTGTTACTAGTATACTAAAGGAATAAAATACTAATTGAATCCATTTATAGTTTATCTGTACTTTGCATTTTGTGCAATAGATTGAAATGGACAGATTCTTACCTTTCGCCTGTTTCACTTTTGTTTGTGTCTTATTTTTTTTTCAGAGAAAACATCAGACTGGACAAACGTTGTGCTGGCATATGAACCAGTGTGGGCCATTGGAACCGGCAAGGTTGCTTCCCCTGCTCAAGCACAGGAGGTATACTGTCTCAATAAGAGCAATAAGCACTTTTCACGGATTGCTGTTTCTGTAAGACATTTTTGTTCACACGTTACTGCTTGCCTGCTTCCATAAGACAGTTGAGCCTCTCCCTATATCCGATACCGACGAATCACTCTCACTAGTTGCTTGTTGTTCTAGTTCTGATATCTTGAAACTCCAATGGTACTAGGTTCATGATGGTCTGAGGAAGTGGCTCCACGCTAATGTTGGTCCTGCAGTTGCTGAATCTACCAGGATTATCTATGGAGGTACTACTGCTTGCAATAGTTACATTCTACTGCGAAACTGACAGTGAATCATGAACTGAATTTCACTGGAATGCTGAATTCTCTGTACAACATTCCATTTTACCCCGTACTGCCGAACTGCTGTAAACTGGACCTCACCCTTTACGTTCTCCTTGAATCTCTTTCCAGGCTCTGTAAATGGGGCAAACTGCAAAGAGCTTGCAGCTCAACCTGATCTTGACGGGTTCCTTGTTGGCGGCGCTTCACTCAAGGTCTTAATCCGTGTTCCTAATAAATAATTAACTACACTTGACATGTTATATAAATGAAGTCAATATAATACATAATGTCACGCTCAATTGGCTAAGCTTTATACAATTCTTATGAATCTTGACCTTTACTTTTTTTTTGTTTGTGCAGCCCGAGTTTGTGGACATCATCAAGTCTGCCACCGTGAAGTCTTCTTCTGCTTAGTTGTTTTTGAGATGCATGCAGTTGCTTGTAGGAGTGGATTCTGCTTATCTTTATAAGACTGTTTGACCATCTTGTTCTAATTCGAGTGCACTGTTATGTCGCATTGACCATCTTATCTTTAGGGTGATGCATGCTTATGTTTGCTTGTTTTTGTCTGGAACGATAATCGGATTACTTATATGTACCAACTATGCACAAATTCGACAAAATTCGCAGAGGCCTGTTGACACCATAACAGCTGAAACCAATTTTCTTGTTTCTTGAAGTTCTGAAGTGCCGTATATTTGAATACTCTGTTACCTGTTGCCTTTTTATGAACTTCTTGCTCGAACCAGGTGAAGTAACAGAATTCCTGATGGTACACAGACATCACTACTGTTTGAACAGTATTCCACTTTTGTCATTCATTTGAATACTACTAACAAATCGCTCTCAGCCACCCGCAAAAAAAAAAAAAAAAAAAAATCGCTCTCAGCCGTGCCATCAACCTTGCGTAACGGCAGCATTCAGGCCGAGGTCAGAGGCAAGTAGTATAAATCTAGAACCTAAGAAACGTGACCCTGACCCAGATCTGAGAAGCCGGCCGGGTCTGTTGCTCACCTCCCTGTCGTAGTCCACGAACTACGTTTCGTCTCCTTTCCGTCTCATCGCGTCGGAACGGTAGAAGCGATCAAAATTTCCAAAACGCGCGTACAGTTTGGCTACGGCAGGCATCCAGATTCCCAGCAGATACGCGTCGCTGTCGACCATGATGGTGGCACAAGCCGCGGATGGGGATCCAGAGCGAACCATCCAATCAGCACGATTAGCTGCTAGTCCTGAACCGGGACTGGGAGGGATCAAACCATGTTCGTGCTAGCGGTGACTAGTTCTACTACTCAAGCCAGTGGCCAACTAACCAACTGGTATTACAGTAATGATCCCGTTTCCAGGAAGACGTTAAAAGTGTAAGAGCAGATCTACTCTTCTCGCAGAGAAAAGAATGACCAGTTGGTGGGGATGGATGGCTCCACCTTCTTTTCGTGTGGGAAGTGAACGAAGGAGAGAGGAAGCGTGTGAAGAGCCTTGAACCGGTCCGGTCCAAACAGGAGCTTTCTCCACCGGCAGGCACCCCTTTCTCACGCTGGCGACCGCTCCAGAGCTTCGACCTGCCCGCTGGAGCGGCTAGCCAAGGCAGCGAATGCATACAAATACATAGGCAGGCAGGTAGGAGGCGGCCGTGGTTTGGTATCTTGCTTCCAAACGCGACCTCATCACAGCAAGACCCGGAGGAAACAAGGCGAGGGCAGAGCGGCCTGCCAGAAGGCAAAGGGCAGAGGAGGTGCTTGCTCAGGTCTCCAGCTAGATCCGGCGACGATGGGTAGGGGCGTTCTGGAGGTGCATCTCGTCGACGCCAAGGGCCTCTTCGGCAGCGATTTCCTAGGTGAGTAGAGTACCCCCTCCTCCTTTGTCGAATTGTATAAGAAGGAACTGATGATGTGGTACCTTCTTGGCTTGGCTTCGTTTTGCGCCGTTCTTGCGTTCGATTGTGGGTGAAGTGTGATTGATCTTTGTGCTGGCCATGTACGTGCGTGCAGGGAAGATCGACCCGTATGTGATCGCGCAGTACCGGAGCCAGGAGCGAAAGAGCAGCACCTCCCGAGGTCAGCTCCCTGGTTTTGTTTTCCTCTTCATGATTTTCCTGCTGCAAATGGTGATATTGGAAGAACGGAGCATCCAACGGCCGTTGACTCTGGCGCAATAGATCCAGGAGCCGTCGATACCCTGCGAGGCTGTGGCTAACCGTGCGCTGTAAAATGATGCAGATGAGGGGAGGAACCCGAGCTGGAACGAGGTGTTCCGGTTCCAGATCAACTCCTCGGCCGCCAACGGGCAGCACAAGCTCTTCCTCCGGATCATGGACCACGACAACTTCTCCAGCGACGACTTCCTCGGCCAAGCAACGTGAGTGCTCCTCCTCCTCCTCCTCCTCCTTGTTGTGTAGGGTTTTCATAAAAATAATTGGAAGATTAGAACTGTCAATTTCCTATGTGGAATGCGATATTATGCACCCCATCATGAGCTCATACCTATCATATTTTCTGGCAAGAAGTCCAATGCAGTCCCTTTCTACTCTCTTTTCTCATCCTAAGAAAAAACTTAAAAATAATCATGCTTTTCGAGATCCGGCACAAACGTGACGTTTTGTTGTTGTGTTTTGCTTACTCACGTGTTTCCTAGTTCATGCTACCTAAAGAACAGAAAGAAAAGTGCCAAGTCTAAACCTCGAAACCATCATTGATGCAGGATCAACGTGACCGATCTGATCAGCACCGGCATGGAGAGCGGCGCGTCGCAGCTGAACGCGGCGAAGTACAGCGTTGTGTCGGCTGATAACTCATACCACGGCGAGATCAGAGTAGGCCTCACGTTCACCGCCACCAAGGTAAAGACCAAAGACTAAAGAGATGCAAGCATGATTGCGTGCAGTGACTGGCCTCCATTGATTTCTCGTGGCTCACCCTCGATGCCCATTTCCAGGTTGAAGAAGACGGGGGGCAGGTCGGAGGCTGGACGCACAGCTCTCGCGAGTAGAGCATGTGTGATGCCAAGTACTTCGCTCGTAGCATTAGTGTTGGATGCTATGCCCGTGACTCAATGATGTGACTCCAAGCCCATGTACGGGGAATTTGAGGATTTGCCCCACCTTTGCTTGCACTTCTAGTATTTGCCCTTGTTTTCGCTGACATTGATCTTTTGCCATACCATTGACACAAACTTGATGATTTGCCCCTGGCAAGATGGGCCCACTGTAAAATGTCCAAACTGCCCCTGCCCTGCTCAGTTCACCCTGACCGAGCACATATCTGGGCGGGAAGACTTGAGGCGGAGATGGAGCTCCCGCCGCCGGTGTTGCTCCGGCGGAGGTCGCCGTGGCTCTGCCCCTGCCGGCCTTGTTGCTCTTCCGGCGCGGATAATCTGGTCCTCTCCAAGCACGGCGCTGGAGGCGAGCGCGGATAAGGCGATGACGAGGTAGCGCGCGGCCGAGGATCTCGCCCATGGACGAACGCCAGAGTTGTGCCTTTGAGCACGTGTCCTTGTAGAGGAGGGAGGAGCGCGTGGGGAGAGGAGAAGCAGCATCAGCTCTTAGCCTGCACCGTAGCAAAGTGGGGAGCAGCAGCAGTGGCTTGGCACCGAAGCATGGGAAGAGAAGCAGCAGCAGCACAGCACGGCAACAAGTGGGCTGCGGCACGAACAGACAAGGAAGAAGGGCATTTGAGTCATCCAATTTGTAGTGTAATGTCAAACCGGGTAGAAAGGGCAAATCATCAAAGTTTTATCAAACTTGTGGCAAATAATCAATTACAAGTAAAAGGAGGGCAAATCCTAGAAGTGCAAGCAAAGATGGGGCAAATCCTCAAATTGCCCATGTACGTTGCACCTCTAGTAGCTTTTTAGAAGATGTACATGTAGTTATGTACTAGCATCCAGAAGTCAGAAGTCAGAAGTCACAACAGGGTAGAGGCGTCAATTCCGTTAATTAATTGTCGATTTGTGGTTCTTCTTATAGGGGAAATTGTGATCCTGAATGCGAACAGCAGAAACTTGTCCGCCGTTGAATGCCTGTTGGTGCCTTTGATGGACAGATAGCTTGTTTTACTCGTTCTGGTTTTGTCTAGTGCATGGCTTTCATCCCCTGGAGGTTCGGAGCAGCCTTCGTCTGCTCGATCGACGGTACTCCTCCACAGAACGGAGGTGATCGGAGAAGGAAAGGTGGCGCTGCTAGTTCCGGCTCCGGGACAGCAAGGTCGCCTGCTCGACCAAACAAAGTGTCAAATACCAGACTGAAACTCGGCGGCCGAACGGGCCACGGGACGCCATGCCGTTGGGGCCGGGCGAAGCACGAATGACGCATGCGCGGAGCTGCCGCCGATATATCTGGCGAGGTGCTGCGGGCGTGACGCACTGTCACACCTCAAGTGCCAACTGCCAAGCAGTGATGTGCCTGGCGAAACTGATGATGTTGCTGTGATGTGGAAGGGGACGGGGGAAGCGGAAAAAGGAAAGGCGTCAGCGCCGTAGAAGGGTCCTAGCATTTACAGCCGGATGCCTCACACACCGGACACGTCTCATATCCATCCTAAATGTGAGGCAGATATGCGAAGGCCCAAGCGCATCCGGGTCCGTCTGTCACGTCAGTCTAGCACATGCTGTCCTACCCCGACCCCACTTCGTCCACACTAAATTCCCCACCCCGAAGAGAACCCTAGCTCACTTCACTCTCGCTCCGTCTATGTCTTTTCTGCTACATATCCCCATTCGATCTCCTCCTCTTCGTCTACCATGTCCAGCTCCGACAACGACGAAGGTGGCAGATCCATCGACGATTGGGATGTTTTCCTCCGCAATGCGGATGGCGGCGAGGATGAGCTGGCCCTTCGCACCGCGTTGCAACGCTCACGGGTGGACACAGGCGGCAGCTCCAGCTATGCTTTGTCCCATCTTGCCGGCCGCAACGCCGGTGCCTGAGCGGGCCTGTAACGCACCGCGCACAACTCTATGCGGTGCACCTGCTCTGCGCCGCTCGCCCGCCGCCCTCCTAACCCTCCGGTCGCTGCTCCTCAAGGCCAATGGTGGACGTTAGTGCCTACTCTGTTGGCTCACGGACGCGCACGCCAAAATCCGAGGGGTGCGCCACCCACCGCGAGAGCCAGCGGACTAGGGAGAGGGTGGCGACATCGGAGGCGGTCACGCAGTCCTCCCACCGCCATTGTGGGTTGCTGGCGGTGCCCAATGAGGACGAGAGCTCCTCGTGTGGGTCTACCGCCGCTCACTTACGACATCAGAGACGAACACCTACCGGCTCCGTCGGAAAAACACAAAGGTGTTCCGGCTAGGTCTGGAGCAGTCGGCGTGCAAGGCGATGGAAAGGGCGGTGGAGGCGACGAGAGCGGCGAAGCTCAAGAGGCAGTAGGACCGGACGGTCCGGGGGATGGTCGGCTTCATCAACTCCTCCTGCTCCGACATCACCGACGACGGCTCCAACAACCAACCTCCTATCACCGACGCCTACCAGGATGCCCACAGTTGCACCGATGACCAAAAGGGCAAAGGGTCGGTGAAGAAGTGGTGAAGAAGCTCGACCCTCTCGCCGTGTTTATTTCTGTTTTGAGTAATCTTAGTTCAGAACTTGTTCGTCGGCTGAACTATGGTGCTCTTTTGGTTGATGATTATGTGGATTATGTGTATTCCTATATTCGCTTGCTATCGATTTCTATGTCCGCTCATTGAATGTCCGTATGTTTCATTGATGATCTACGCAGTTTAGTTTCACGTTGCATGCTTAGTATGGATATAGGGTACCGGATATAAGGTAAATGGTTGTGGTTGTGGCGATTTGAGAGTTGACCGGTCACTGTTTGTGGACATGTCCGTGGACGTATAGGGTACCGGATGTGGTATGCATGGATGTAAATGCTCTTAGGTCTCCGGTGTCGGTGGTAACTGGGTTGGCAAATACATATTATTTTGGACAAGGGGTTTGGTAGTTTTGTACCTGGTAGTTTTGCAGTGATTTCCCGAATGACCCCCACGTCACCCTTGCCAGCGACACGGGAGCTCCTCCCTCAACTCACTCCCACGTCGTTGCCGCCAGAGAGGTGGCCGGCAATGTCACGTCACCCCTGCCAGCGACACGGGAGCCCCTCCCTCAGCTCACTCCCACGTCGTCGCCGCCGGAGAGGTGGCCGGCAATGTTGTGCCTGGCCCTGGGATGGTGGCAGCGGGGAAATTTTCGCCTCCCTCGCATGTTTCCCCCTCTCATCCCCTCTCCCCCAAGATCCGATCTTGCGTGGTGTGGGTGCCTCGTAGTTGCCGCCCCCACCTTCTAGCCCGGTAGGCGCCGCGGCCTGATTGTGGGCATGGATGCTCTCCTCCGCGACCCTTCCTCTCCCTCCCCATGGATGAAGCCATGCCTCTGCTGGTGTGGACATGCATCCTCCCTCCACCCTCCCTCGATCTACATTTATGGGTCAATGACGGTGTCCATGGTGTTGCTCTGGTGGCAGTTGCCTCTTTGATAGATCGTGGATGTCGCCTAGAGGGGGGGGGGTGAATAGGCGCTTTAAAATAATTACGGTTTGGGCTTGAACAAATGCGGAATAAACCTAGAGGTTAATTTGTCAAGCACAAAACCTACAACAACTAGGCTCAACTATGTGCACCAACAACTCATGCTAAGCAAGATAAACTACTAGGTGATAGCAACATATATGACAAGAAACAATATGGCTATCACAAAGTAAAGTGCATAAGTAAAGAGCTCGGGTAAGAGATAACCGAGGCACGTGGAGACGACGATGTATCCCGAAGTTCACACCCTTACAGATGCTAATCTCCGTTTGGAGCGGTGTGGAGGCACAATGCCCCCCAAGAAGCCACTAGGGCCACCGTAATCTCCTCACGCCCTCGCACAATGCAAGATGCCGTAATTCCACTAAGGGACCCTTGAGGGCGGTCACCGAGCCTGTTGGGGATATTACTGCTGGGCGTAAACCGGCCTATATGGGCCGGGTCAACTTCATCAGTAGTTCAAGAGTGCTAAAGCCCAAGAAGACAGACGAGGGCCTAAGGCCCGTGGTCGGTTTTAGACTTGTAGCTGTAAACCGGCATTTGTATATAAACTTGTATTGTAAGTTAGGAATAAGGAGAGACCAACCCAGATACGAATATGGACCGGTGTTGGGACTCTGTGAACCGACGGGCGTCACCCGTGTATATAAGGGGACGACCCGGCGGCGGTTCAAGGACGACAGACAACAACTCAAGACATAGGCGAAGCTTGTTTGCTCCCTAGTCATCGAAACCCCATCAATTCCATCACAACTAGACGTAGGCTTTTACCTTCATCGAAGGGGCCGAACTAGTATAAACTCTCTTGCGTCCCTGTGTCCGCTTTAACCCCTTCAAGATAACCCGTCGCGATGGCTCCACGACTAAGTCCTTTCTCTAGGACATCTGCCGTGACAAAACCACGACAGAACCCGTACAAATGGCAACCCTTGGGGGCGGTCACCGGTACCCGTCAAATTGCTCAGGGCGATCTCCACAACCTAATTGGAGACCCCGACGCTTGCACGAAGCTTTACACCACAATGATTGAGCTCTGAACACCACCAACCGTCTAGGGCGCCCAAGCACCCAAGAGGAACAAGCTCAAGGGTACCAAGAACCCAAGAGTAATAAGCTTCTCAACTTGTAACTTCCACGTATCACGTGGAGAACTCACATCGATGCACCAAATGCAATGGCAAGGGCACACGGAGTGCCCAAGTCCTTCTCTCTCAAATCCCACCGAAGCAACTAATGCTAGGGAGGAAAATGAGAGGAAGAGGAAGAAGGAGAACACCAAGAACTCCAAGATCTAGATCCAAGGGGTTCCCCTCACATAGAGGAGAAAGTGATTGGTGGAAATGTGGATCTAGATCTCCTCTCTATTTTCGCTCAAAAACTAGCAAGAATCCATGGAGGGATTGAGAGTTAGGAAGCTCGAAGAAGGTCAACAATGGGGGAAGAACACGAGCTCAAAGTATAAG